CTAATCGAACATTAAGTAAGGCTATACATCTGTGGGCACATTTTATTATTATGAGTTGGGTAAAGAACGTCCCTCCTCAATCCGGCGAGCTCAACTCTTTCTTATTATACCCTCCACCATAGTATGGAGGTTACATTAAGTTTGTCATTTCGTTTGTAACACCTCGAAATATACATTTTAGACCCAACAAAGTATATTCTTGATCAGCATAAAATTCTATGTCGACTTAGCGATGTCCGTCCGTCTATCCGTCTGTGGAAATTACTCTAGCTTCCAAACAAATTGAAGTAGATTGATAAAATTTTACTCAAATGTATATTATGTCTGCAGGACTTTTGGTATTGCTGGTCCACGTCTTCGTATAGTCCCCATATAATGGTACCTCCGGAAATTCGGTATTTTGATGATTTTAGCGACAATATTCATCGGAATTGTTTCAAATTTGATGTTCGCAGTGGATACTACAGCCTATGACAGAAAATTGTCTGTGCAGGTCCACGTCTTCGTATAGCCCCCATATAACGGAACCTCTCGATATTCGGTATTTTGATGATTTTAGCGACATTATTCACCGGAAATGTTTCAAATTTGGTATTTGAAGTTCGTAATGGATACTACAGCCTAAGACAGAAAATTGTCGTATAGCCCCTATTTAACGGTACCTCCCGATATTCGGTATTTTAATGATTTTAGCTACATTATTCACCGAACTTTTTTTTTTAAGTTTCGCATTTGAATATTGTAACGGCTTATGACAAAAGTTACCCATTGGTACATCTCAATATTTCCATCAACATAAGATCACTTATAAAGATGATAGATATCGGACCATTCATTCTGGTACCTACCCCACAAAGGGTGAACATTTGCAATAACCAAAACGATCATAAAATCCGAAATTAGCTTCTGGTTCCCTTCAAATTACACACATCACAATATTTTTACTAACCCAAGGTCTGGTGTGAAGATGGGATATATTGTCCCACCCCTTCTGGTACCTCCCCCACAAAGGGTCAACATTTCGAATATCCACGAAGCTCATAAAACGTGAAAATAAATTCCGATTCCATTCATACTTGGTACATCTCAATATTTCCATCAACACAGGATCTCTTATAAAGATGACAGAGATAGGACCATTCCTTCTGGTACCTCCCCCACACAGGGTGCATCCCACACTCTCTTCAAGTTTCACACATACCCATGCAGGTCCATGTCGTCGTATAGACCCTAATGTAACAGCTGCATTCGGTATTTTTAAGATTTTAACAGAAATTTTAATGGATTTTATTGTTTTTGAGAATTACCAAATTAATTCCAAATGGTGGAGGGTATTCAAAATTCGGCCCGGCCGAACTTAAGCTGGAAATACATAAAGCACTTATTTGGCTGGCTTAAGTCATCGGCTGGCTTCTTCGGAAATGAACAAAGGGGCCTAGGGCCAAAATCGAACTAGGTCAACCTAAAACTCCTTTTTTCATTTACGAAGAAGCCAGCCGATGATTTAAGCCAGCCAAATATGCGCTTTATGTATTTCCAGCCTTACAGTTTTTTTTTTTTTTTCAAATTTGGATTTCATCTGCCTTGACCCTTTTATATGCAGATCGTTTACTTACATTCTGTTTAACTTTCTTTCCAATTCATCGAGTGCCCCTTTTTAATTGAACACAATTATTTAAAAATCTGCCACCATTCTTTGCCCTTCAATCCACAACATCATGTCTGGGACAGAGCAGAATTCCATTCCGTTATTATATTTTAAAAGATTTTTCAGATTTTAATCGATGAATATCCAATATTTGCAAAATTATCAAGTATCTCATTATAATTTACATAAAAAACCCTGTCATTAATAAAAGATGCCAACGAATTGATACCTGCCAGCTGGCTACCTGACACACTGAGGGGGGGAGGGGGGATTGTTTCGGATCCACCTTCGCGAAGACGGTGAAAGAAACATCAACATCAAAAATCAACCTGAATAATGTACACGAATTCCGTTTACACAAAGGAATAGGGACACCTCTTACCGCCCACTATCATAACCATGGCAATGCCATTGAATTTTCTTTCATTTTTTTTTAATGGGGCATTCATTTGCTTTTATGGCAACCCTGTTATCAGCCACATCAAATCCTGTAAAGCTGAGTCATAACTTTTTGAGTGCGTATAGGTGTGAGTGAGTGTGTAAGTGTGTAGAGATTTACCGTTAACATTTGTGTTTTACGCACCGGGTGTACAAAGTACAGAGTAATGGCGGTGATGGGGTAAATGGACAAGCAAGTGACATAAACAAAAAGAAGAAGAAGAAGAAGAAGAGTAGGAGAAAGAAATGGAAAGCGCGCACACACACACATTCAATCACTCGCTCACTCATTCACTTAAGAAAACAGTTATTACTGTTATTATTTTTATTTTGTTTTTGACAATACCCGATTCATGCATAAACTGAACCGTTAATTTAAAACACCTACTAGTGAGTGACCTGTCTCCAAATACTTAGTTCGGGAAATTTTCCATAGTTTACAGGACCCACCAAGGAGCTCCATTTCGTCTCGATAGAAATTATGGACATTCTAGTTTGTTTTATGTAATAAATAAATAATGAAACGGTAGTTGTAGTGTTATAAAGGTAACAACAACTACAGTAGTATTAGACGAAACAATAACAACAGTCTGTGCACACCACCCGTGGCACAATCAAAAGTTGCTATGGCAACATTGTACAAAGTAATGCCCACCACTCACCTAACGAATGTCACGAAAAGCTATTTGCTCCGGCATGTTGTTGTGTGTCGAACGATGTGTTTGTTATTTAGAGAAGGATTGTTTCTCTTATATTCTCTCTTTGAGAATAAACGTCACGCTCCGTTATTGTCGACAACAAAGAGTAAAATCAGCTGTTGGTTTTTGGGTGGCAGTAATGCTTACCTAAAGTGGAATTCTGTAACTCATTTTCTGAGTTGCGGAAAAAATTGGTAAAATTCAAATGCTTAAAATTTTAGTAATTAACGAAACGAAAAACGTTAACTTATAGGCGAAATTAAAGTAGTCGCTAAGGCCTACCGATAGATACCAATGTTGTCAACATTTATTTATTTTTCATATCAAAATTTTGCGTTTGAAAGATACCGATTTTTGTCGGTAACTCAAAAAATGAGTTAGAGAATCTCACTACAGAGGTTGATAAATTTTGATATTTTATAACCTCAGTCATATGCTTAGAGAGGGTATACAGGGTGAGATAAAAAACTGCAATCAACTTCAGACTGCTGTCATTTCCAAGCCACTCGTCCGACAGCTGTTAAAATTATTCCAGTGACAAGCGTACAAAAGCATTTTGTTGAGAATTTTCCAGAAAACAAGTTATTCGTGATGGAATTCAAGCGTGATAGTGTGATTTCCTTATATTTGGCTGGAAAACCACAAGTTGCTATCGTAAGAGTACTCCAGCATTTAAATATAAATAAATCTTAAATATAAATCGCTCGTTAGCGTGATACTGGTAGCGTAACCTGACGACAAGGAAGTGGACGGAAAAAAACAGCAACATCAGCAGAAATGGTTCGAAAAGTAAAGAAGTGACTTGATGGAAACCCGCGTCGCAGTGGCCGAAAAATGGCTCGTGAGCTGAACATATCGCAATATTCAATTCGGCAAATATTGAAAAATGAGCTCGGGGTAGAGCCATGGAAATTCCAAAAAGTGCAAGAACTTACACCGCAACAGAAAGGAAATAGACTCAAATGAGGTAAAGAGTTGCTTTGCTTGGCCGAAAGTGACGAACTGCCGAATTTGGTTTTCTCCGATGAGAAAACATTCGTCGTCCAGCAGACAAAAACAAAATGATCGTGTTTACTTGCCAAAGAGGTCAGCTGAAAATGTGCACCTTCGGTTGGCCACCAGATCTCAAGCGCCGGCCATGGTGATGGTGTGAGCTGCCATAACAGCCGATTGTTGCTTTCCGCTCTTATTAATCGATCGTGGCATCAGAATAATTACCGAATTTTATCACGAAAATATTCTGGAGGGTGTATTAAAGCCTTGGGCACGCAAACATTTTGGCCGCAGACCTTGGAAATTCCAACAGGATTCGACACCATCGCACCCAGCACGCGCCAGCGAAGAATGGTTATAAACCGAGGTTCCTCGCTTCATTTCCAGCGCACAATGGCCACCAAAATCTCCGGATACCAATCCGTTGGTCTATTGTGTCTGAAGTATTTTGGAAAGCAAGGTTGGCACTAAAAAATACCAAAGTGTCGATCAAGCAAGCGCTTCGCTGGGAATGGACCAAAATACTGCAGAGCAACATTCGGGAAGCGTGTGATGGTTTCATTAGCCGTTTAAAGGCCATAGTTTGTGCCAAAGGTGACCAACTCGAAAAAATCTAAACTTATTCTAAAATTCGATGCTATTTTCTACATTTTTTGCTTTCATTTAATAAAATTAAAAAAAAATAAAAAATTATGGCGTTAGACCTTGTTGCAGTTTTTTTATCTCACCCTGTAGTCCAAACCTGGCAATATTTTTATCATATTTATTTAGGTCCCAATACGGAATGGAAAATATTGGCCCATTCCTTCGGAAACTACTGCACAGAGGGTAAACAATTTTAATAATCATAACAGAAGTCTAAAAATATTTAAATAATCGAATTGGCTGAGAGTATACATTTATCGGCAAAAACGACTATTATTTTTTAATTAATAGTAAAGATCGCTAAATTAGCCCCACTACGGTTTATGCCTCTCTGGCGTTTTTCTACAAACAACTTCATTAGCAACACTCTAGCCACAATGACAGTTAAACACAAATAACGGTAATTGTTGGGGTATGAAATATAAAGAGTACAATAACAATCTGACAGAGAGAATGGACAAGAGTGAGAGTGAGAGAGAGAAACAGAGAAAGTACACCAGAGAGCCTTTGTGATATCTTTGCCATGGGGATTTGCAACAAAATATTGGTCCTACTGAGTTTATGGACACAAATAACTGTTATTCGTTTTTCTCCCGTCAATTAGTGCAAAACGTTCGTACGCTGGAATTTATTTGTAAAACGGTTTTAAAGTAAAACTCTTAAGAGCAAAAACAAAAAAAAAAAAAAACAACAACAAGAAAAAAGGATATAACAAATCTATAAGCAAAGCAATAAAATGGAATAAAGTGTCACAAAGTGAAGAAATAATAAAACAAATAAAAAAATTCTCCAATAATTACAAAATCGAATGTATTCAAAATATTGAAAACCAATAAAATTTTCGAATAGAAAAATAGTGAAAACTAAAAAAAAAATTGTTTGCCTTTTTGTGGGCAACAAGAAAAAGAAAAACGTGAAAAGTGTTCTGCAGAAAAGTGCAAAAGTTTCCCCATCAATCTCCTCATCAAAATCAATGGAATAATAAAACCAAAATTGTGTGTCAAAAGTGAGTAAAATTTGTCATAACGTAACGAAGAAAATATAGAAACCATTAAATGAATGAATATGGCCCATTAAAAGGCTGCAAAAAGTTTTGATTGAAAATGAAAAAGTTTATATGCTTCACCTTTTTTTTCCAATGGCTGGCTGTGAAATTGTCAAAGAAAATTTCTTGTATTTTGTGTGGGTATTTCGTTTTAACGTACGACAAACGAGCGTGAACGAAATTGTAAAAAATGGAATGAAAGAAAGAATGAAAAAAAATACTGATTTGGCCGAATAAAAACCGTCACATCGACACACACCAATACTCGCAAACACACACACGCACGCACGCACGCAAGGCGCAATACTCACCATCAACAGAGTAGCGTTTCGAAACGAAAGGAATAAGTTCTAGTAAAAAGCAATGGAATAGCTATAAAAAAGGAATACGTAAAATAAATACAATTGCCAAAAAAAATGTATGAAAGAAAAAAAAGCACAAAAAGAGGACCAGAAGAAGAGAAATAAAATGGAATCGGCAATAACGAATTTACCACTTGTGTATATTTATGTTACGAATGTTGCTGCCATTGCTCCGTGCATTTGCAAATTCCTATTTCTCTTTTCGTATTCTCTGCGACTCTCTACTATCTCCCCATTACATACTCATTCACTTACCCGCCGTCGAAAAAAAAACATTTGTTGTTATTGTTGTCCTTTTTTTTTGGCTATTCTCTTTTGGTAGCTGCTTTCTTGTTTGTTGTTTGTTTTTACTTGTTTTCTTCTTCTTCTCCGTTCTTAAAGACATGCTACCGTTATTTTTACTACACGCCAGCACACACAGCTACTCACTCACACATCCACTCACCCACCCACCACCGCCGCCACAAATGAGAAGAGCACAGGTTATAGACATTTACCGTTAGGTTGGTTTGTTTGGGCTGCCATTCACTTGACTTTATTTTCCAACAAACATTCCTTTGACTCTTCCTCTTTGCTTCGACAGCCCACGTCAACTATCAGCCGCAGTAGTAGTGTTGCCAAGTGATGGCATTTAATTAGAGTTGTGGAATTGTTCGTATGCAATTATTTTAATACGGTTTTAATTAGAAAATGACATGGTAGCAGATAAAAAAAAAAACAATAAAAACCACTTTAATCGAACGAACTTTTAACCTACTCTATCAATCGGAAGAAATGTAAGTTGTAATTTCCCACGAGGTTGTTTCCAAATGTATTTTAAGTGATATCCTTCGAGATAGTAATGTTCAGCTATGTCGAGGTTTTTATACCCTCTGACATTAAGATCCAGAATAAAGTAGGGGAAAGGGGAACAAGAAATAACTGATACGAGGAATAAGAGAAGTTTAAGAGATTCCATCAATCGCTATACTAAAGTCCAATACCGACCTTTTGAACATCAGTTATGATGGAATTCCTAAGTGGTATATTCTTGCGAAATAAGCACACGGCAATATTTTGCCACATTACATATAACCCATTATCGAATCTTAGAATCGAATTTTGAATAATTCCGTTAGAAAAGATGAAGATGCCGGTGTATGGGGTCTTCAAGAAAACGTGGAACTATATAGACAAGATTCCGTCACAGAAGCTATAACCGAATTTTAAACAATTCTGTTAGACAACGTGTTTTAAATCTTCAAAATATCGAAAATAGAGAGGTACGATTATATGAGGGCTATATGAAAACGTAGACCGACATGGCACATTTTCGAACTTAACCTGCCCATTGGGGCTACATCAACATCAAGGAACCAATAAATCCGGTGAAAGAATTGGACGTTGATTAAGAAACTCTAAACTCAACCAGAGAAAGGCCCTCTATGAGATATTTAGTTGAGATATGCTCTCAATTCGAGGAGCTAGATATAGATTTCGGAGTTAGAAATAGTTAGGTCAGTTCCAGTCCTAATTGATCAATGATCGAGTAAAATATGTCATATTATCAAGGCAATGCAACATGTCATTAGGAGCAAATATACTCTCAAACTTACCAAGAATTAAAAAATGGAGATCAACCCCAGAAAGCCGAGGGGGGGGGGGGGTACTATGTAACTCGATTCGATGGCTAAATATTTCATATGCGAATTCTTCCTACCAACCAACTCGAATTCACAAATAAATGTCCTAGTTTCGAGTTGTCATATCCGAATATCGGGTACACATACTCTACTTTCGAATTTGCATTACTATATAATTCGAATGTAGACATCAAAGTCGCTCGAAAGTTTACCCTCCTGGTCCCAGAAACTTAAGTGTAGCGCCCGATCTCACTGTTGATGTTACACCAGAAGACCTCAGGGTTGTTGGTAGCTCCGAACTCATGTTCTCCAGCACGTAGTTAAATGCTTTTCCTGTTTAGCTGAAAATATATATACGTTGAAATATGTAAACATCTCCGTCCGTTAACTGCATTTAGTCTGTACCATCGCGTATGATTTTATGTTGCAACTAAAAATTAGGAATAGAATCCAAACTCCCTCTTCAATTGTCAACTCTATTCTGTGATTAGAAAAGAAAACCACCGTTTCGCTTGGGTGTAGATTCAATTCTCGATCCGGCTTGAAGGATCAATGTTATGGCGAAAAAAGAGTCCAATCTCCCTCTTCCATTATCAACTCTAATCTCCATTCGGCTAGACTGGAGCAATGTAGAGTGAGAAAAGAAACACGACCGCTACGTTTGGGTGTAGTTTCAGTTCTCAATCCGGCTCGAAGGACCAATGTAAGATGAGAAACGAAAACCAACCGAATGGTTTGGCTGTAGATTCAATTCTGATTTTATTTTTAAAATATGTTACTTACGTACTACTGAAACTAATCTAACTTAACCTAGTGGCAGCCACACAATTGTTCTTATCTATTTTTAATTACATGGCTGTCTGTCCCTTCATTCAAGGGATCCTGGCTACCTACTGACGCATCGATATCTGTGTGTGTATGTGGGTCATGTCCTTTATTATTTTACACATTATCATATGCGACAGCGCACAAGATCACTGAATTCTACACATGTGCTATTTTATCGCAGCTGGGAAACTATTATTTTGGAATCTTCATTTTTAGTTGTTAGAATTTTCCAGCGCCACAACCGCATTCAAAAGTATGTGCAAAGTATTTTGTACAGCAACCGTAGGTACAAAATTTTTTCAAGAAATATAATTGTAAACCGGGACCAATAATAAAAAGACGCAAAGTCTCTTCCTTCTGAGCGTTTGTTAGACATTTAATATATTTATTAAAAATATTTCTTAAGAACTAGTTATGATAGTATGACTTAACCTAAATTATCATTAAGTGTAAATGAGAGAGAGAGATACCAACTGTACACATGTCTATGCACCATGCAACCATAAACCTTAGGGGAGGTCATAAACACGCATAGCTATCTCACATGTGAAAAGCAAACATGCTGCACTTACTTATCAGTCTGAGTAAAGATTACATCCCGTAATCTAACTCCACCATAACATATGCAACAATTGAAAATTCTATATTCTTTATTTCTAACTCGAAGGTCTGCTCACCACATTTTCTTATCTTATTTAATGTGGACTGTATTAAGAAGATCCCTGTTTAACAAATCCCTCTCATCTACAATAGGTAGCCCCGCTATTCTCTTTTATTATAAATGTTCACTTATCCGTGAACAATAATTATTTCTTGCTAATTTTTTATATTTTGTTTTTATTTTTTGAAATGTTACGAAACAAATACTACAAATTTTAAATAACACACTCGGAAGTACTACCAAAAGAAATCCAATTAGTTAAAGCACTTTTTACTCGATCCAAATCCATTATACAATAATAGTTTAAAATTCGGATCGAACACAACTTTTCACTTATAAGAGAATTATCTATATTGGTCCACGATATCATATAGTCCGATATTCGGTGTTTTGATGATTTTAGCCACATTTTTCAACGGAATTGTCTGAAATTCTACACAAGGGGTTCTTTGTGAACACTTTGCCCCTTGACAGGTAGTTCTCTATATAGGTCCATGATATCGTATATCCCGGTATACGGTATCCCACGATATTCGGTATTTTTATGTTTTTAGACACATTTTTAAACGGAATTGTCTTAAATTCTATACAAGGAGTTATTTGTGAGTTCTTTATACCTAGACATAGATTTGTCTATATAGATCCACAATATCGTTTATCCCCCCATATATCGGCACCTTCGGAGATTTTAACAGAATTTTTAATGGATTTTATTTTTTGAAAATGTCCTAATTCGTTCCAAATGGTGGAGGGTATTCAAAGTTCGGCCCGGCCGAACTTACTGCTTTTTTACTTGTTTTATTTTTGACATGAATGTTGTCCAAGATTTTTATGAAGGGTATTAATAGAAACAAGTAAAAAAGTATCGGCAGGTTTTGCCAACAGATGTATGCCCTTAGCCAATGTTTGATTATTTAAAAATATTTTGACTTTGGTTATGAATTTTCAAATTTCAAAGAATGGGTCAATATTGTCCATTTCATATCGGACCTAAATAAGTATGATATAAATATTATTATGAATATATAAGAAAATCGAACACTTATATCCAATTGATGGGAAATCATAAATTCCATATTTATCTCAGGTTTCTGGCGAAGAGAGATATATTAAGATATAGCAAGGTGTATCTACACTGACAAGGTGTCTAATCGCTGGCTTGTTTCGCAAGTTATGACAGATAAAAGTATTGAAAATTGTGTCCCTTTGTGGGTGAGGTACCACACCACTCGATTTTTTTGGGGATACCTGAGGGGTTACTATGTAACTCGATTCGAAAGTAAAATACTTCGAATGCAAATTTTTACTACCAAATACCCCGAATTCGCAAACACATTTCCTAATTTCGGATTGCCATATCCGAGTATAGGATATTCATACTCTACTTTCGGATTTGAATCACTACTTCGCATTTAGAAGTCAAAGTCGTTCTACTCGTTTGATATTTACCTCACGGATACGAAGAAACAACGAAAAAAAGTTGTTGAA